TGTTACGTCCCAGTGGTTGTGCCTCCGTGTTTTTGCTTTCTCTTTGCTCTGTTGTATTCTTAGGTTCAACCCTCTTCGGACTGCTATTGGTTCAGGAAGCCGTCTGTCATTGTTAACGTGGGTGACGTCATTATCTCTGCTGCCAATCCTGTTTCGTGCCAGAGTTTAAAAGGATGACTGAATGAACGCGGAGCAGATTTTGCTTTTCTGTTTGTGCATTTGCATTTTGTTTGTTTCTTTTGTAGTGTTGTTCTTCTGTTACAGTTTTGAGTTGTCCTCTTGATCTTTTCTTTAAGTTTTCTATTTTGTATTTCATTGTTTACTGCCTTTGTAACATACGCAGGACAACGTTCTCCTTGCCCCTGGGGAAAACTGGACCAGGTAGTATGTCACGTGACATACATGTAGCAACGTGTAGAGACTCTGATGTATTAGAAACACTAGTATAGAAGTGAGCGCCACTTTTTGCTTTGGTGAGTTTGGAGCAGGTTAGTTAGGGCGTGAAAACGCCGAAGACTTTGTTTTTTTCCCTGTTTTCTTTTCTTTTGTTAGTAGGTTACATTTGGCAACTTAAGTTAGATTGGTTTTGTTTTTTTCTGTTCTTTTCTTTGGCGCCGCTTGCATCCGTTTTTCCCTTGTGGGGGTTATTTTATTTTTGGGTTGTAATATTGTGAAACTATAGTTTTCTCATTATTTGTTATCTTGGTATTAGTTTATTATTATTATTATTATTGTTACTTGATGTTTTTTCTTTTTCTTCTTTTAAACTTGTAAATAAATCACCTTCCTTGGCAGTTTTCGTGTTGCACTATTCTCTTTTTGCCACCACCAATGTCACAACCATCACAACTACAAATGTTACCCCTCTTAAACCTAGACTTAAAAACAAGAGGTCGTAACAAGGTAGAACAATCTGATTAGTAACAATTCAACAGTTGTCACGTTCTTCTGCTCGGAGAAGACTGAAGTTGTACTTTGTGTAACAGTTAACGATTTCCCCTCATTGGCTCATGCATTTGTCATGCTTTTTGGACTAACGTACGCCTTGGATCTAAGTTCCCTAAAAGAGTTGGACAATATATTTGACTTTACCCATAAATTCTTGATGGGTCTGGAGGATGGGAAGCTGAGACCCAGAGTGTTGAGTCTTAAAAATGAACTTTTGTCAGTAGAGTTTCCTCAGTGTCTGAACAAAGCTTACAAAGGTACTGTTTTATTTGACATTTCATTTAAACTTTCACTTCTGTCACTTTAGTTTTAGTACATTATTTCTTTATTTATTTTTTACAATATTTGTGTAGTATTTAATTTGCAGAACATTTTCTCAGTTGATTTTCTGGAATGGTATAAGTTCCATATACAGTACCATGTGTTCATCCACTCATAGAAATGACTATTTAAAAAAAAAAAACATTGCTCTATTTTGAAATTTCTTTTATATTTTATTCTAGTATTACTTTTATATTTCTAAAGTTACTGTTTGATGTGAATTTTGGAAGTGTTCCTATTTTAGGGAAGTGTTTACAGCTGGGTGATATCCAGATATCCATATTGTCCACTTATAAAAGTGACAATTATCTTTCTAATTTCTCAGTTTTGGAGAATGTATTTCCATTTGACAAACAATTTAATGTTGATGTTTTGTTAATGATTTGTGGTTACTTAACAAAATAGTAATTTGCATTTAAATTGTCTTCTAACCCATTCATTTTATTTTAATTGTAATTAGTATATAGTTATTTATTAAAACTAATGTTTTTACGAAGGTAAACTTAATTGTAATGTAACAAAAATGTTTGTCATCTTTATTTAATTTTAATTGGTTCTGTGAACCCAAAAACTTCTTGTAAAATGAACTTGATCAATAATTTTGTAGTAACTTGTAAGGTTAAGTTAATATCAGTTCAAATTACTTGGTAACATTTACTTAAAAAAATGATGTTTCTTTAACTTATAAAATTTAGTTAATATAACTTAAAAATTTCAATGTAATCAGTTTCAACTATTTTTTTGAGTTATATTAACTTATCCGGTTTTACAGTGCAGGAGCCTGGGTAAGCCTCACCTTCAACTCATTAAAAGCAGCTTCACAAGCATCAGACCATCTACTCCCAAATGGATCAGAGGCTTTGTAAACTACTCGTTCTGGGCAGGGTCCTGCTTTGATCTTCTTCAAACTTGCGGCAGGCAGACCCTCTTGCAACAACTGATTTAGAGGGTAGGACACTTTCGAATAGTCTTTCACAAATCTTCTGAAGTATCCACAGAAGCCCAAAAAAGAACGGAGCTTTGACACATTTTGCGGTTGAGGCCAA